AGAGGGGGGACAAGTTGGAGTTGACGAGGACCGTCTAAGACCAAGTAAGTCCGTGAGTCGAACTTTTGTAGCACCGCAGTATATATATATATATATACATATATACACATATATTTGTATGTGTATATGTATATGTATACATGTGCATAGGTGTATAGGTGTACATGTGTATATGTATAAACGTATAAATGTATAAATGTATAAATGTATAAATGTATACTTGTATGTATGTATATATATATATATGTAGACATGTAGATATGTATACATGTATGTATGTAGAAATGTAAATATGTTTATATGTATTATATGTGTATCTGTATATGTATATATATGTATATACATGTATATGTCTATATGTGTATATGCGTACATGTGTATACGTGTATATGTATAGGTATATTCCATAGGTCACGGCTAGGAGCCACCTCCCCTGTGCTCCATCTTGTTGAGATACGGATGTCCACCCGGAGCTGCAAGGGCCGGTACCGGCTCCTGCGTGGTAATTCAAAACTGGGTTTGGGGTTTATAGGACTTACGACTCAAGGGTTAAGGTTTGGAAGCCAGAGTTTTGGGTTCACATAGGGTAGGAAAGTCGTCAAAGCAACGACACACAATTTCTCCCACACGTGGAACTACGCGTGATCTTCCAGATATCCTAAACCCACTGCCCTTCCTTTCAAATATGGTCCCTGCCTGTCCCAAAACCCTAAAGCCTCCCGAGCAGTGGCTTTTTAAAACGAAGCAGCGACAGCTGAAGCTGCTGTTTATGGTAACTCTGGTTTCAGGGTTCAGGGTATAGCGCGGTCCCTAGTAAGCCCAACAGCAGTCTAGATGATAGTCGTAGGCAGTCGTAGAGTCCCTATTCAAAGGGGTTGGGGCTTCCAGAAATCCTTATTTAATCATCGTCCCCCTCACACTTCACCTCACCATCCGCTAGTAGTAAACGTTCCACCTACCGTAATGTCATAATGGCACTATAGTGGCGGCATGTATCACTGGGGGTGGGGTGAGGGGGCATTGGCTTTTTCTTTATTGGAAACTACCCCCTGACCTCCATGTTATCCCTATATGACGCTTAAGCAAAAAACCTGAATCGTCAGTCTCAATCCCTGACCTGCTGCGCTGGTGCAATAACGGTGCCGCGCATGATGCCCTCACAGAAGTCGCGCGCTCGCTTCCCGAAGTTCGCGCCTTGCCTGGGGGAGCTTTCGCTGCTAGTGGGTACATTTTGGGTAGCCCCCACCCACTAACAGCTCGTAGGAAGGGCCATATTACTTCATGCAGAGCTCTAATTAACATCCATGCTGTAATTTTCATCACACTGTTGATTACTGCGGCAGCGCTTGTTTTCAAATCTGCGAATCCCAATGACCCTGAACCCTAAACCACTAAACCACAAAACCCTAAATCACTCTACCGTAAACCCCTCAAACCCTAAACCTCTACCCCCTGTAAACCTTAAGCCCCTGAACCCTCAACCCCAAACAGCATCTTGGACTCTCTTAGGGTTTTAGGGTAATGGCTCCGCCTGTTGACCGGTATTTTCAACCAGCTGCAAAAAAGTTGATTCCTTAGCTGTAACCCCCGTTACGGTTTAGTGGTAATTACTCTTCATAAGTCCAAACCCTAACCCTACACCTACAAAAGGAATCTTTGCTCCTCAACTGATACGTAGCCGCATAAAACAGTAGGCAATTGGGGTTGAAGCCCTAAACCTTTAAAGTCACACACATCAAGTCAACTAGCCTACAGTCTTCCAGTGGTTCGTGTGGTACCTCAGGCTACCGCCCGCAACCACTAAACTTAGTGACTATACTTACCAGCATCCCTTGCGGTCACGCTTGGCGTGTGGGTGCCTACAATAAGAGCATCCCTTGCGGTCACGCTTGGTGTGTGGGTGCCTAGCATAAGATATTCGGCCAATGCTCTTTACCCATGGTCTCTCTAATTAAGTAGTGTTTTTTGGTGGCTGAACTTACCAAACTTATATGTCCTATATACAATACTATACCCCAGAAGGAAGATATAATCTTAATCTAAAAGGGGACCAGTGTATCCCCAAACAAAAACTACTCAATTGGAAACCCAATGGGTGCACTCACCAAGCTCCTGGAGGAACCCGAAAGACACTCACCAAGACCCATGATAAAAACCCGACTTCCTGATGTTCTCTATGAACTCTTATATAATTTCCCGCCTCCCTTGCATTTTCTGGGTTGTGTTCTAGTTGGTCCTCCATTCGGGGGATAATATGCCTGAACCCTATATAATCCCGTATACACTCCCTATACAACCACCTCATATGGGGATACACCCGCAAATAATCCTTATGTAACCCCTTTGAAGGGACCCCACATTTCGGAGGTTGGGCCGGCCCTAAACCCTTAAACCCCTAAACCCTAAACCCCTCAACAGCTAAACCTTAAACCCTAAATCCTAAGCCCAAAACCCTGAATCCTACACCCAAAACCCTGAATCCTAAACCCTAAACCCCTAAACCCTAAACCGGCGGCAGATTTTGGCTCATTGCCTTGGAAGGTTCTGCACAGCGCCAGTCTTCGTGATTTTGATGTCCTTCCTCAGGGTTATAGTCCCCCTTAAGTAGATAGAATATGGGGTATGTGGGGATCTTGCTATAATATACCCAAAACCATATTCTATCTACTTAGGGGGACTATAAGGGTTTAGGGTTTAGGGTTTGGTGTTTGGGGTTTAGGGTTTAGGTGATCCTGATGTCTTTCCTCAGCTACGTGGGAGTTTCAAGGGGAACACAAGGGTTATACTAAACCCTAAACCCTAAACCGAGTTATATTGGGAGTTGTAGGGGTCTATAAGGAGATTTTTCACCAATAATGGATAATCAAATGGAAGTGGACATGGACCATGAGACAGAAGTTAGCATTGCGTAGTGGTTCATAGGGTTCGGGGTTAACAGATACTGGGGATCCTTTTGGGGGGAGTCCCTGTTATAAGGATGATAGAATATTGGATATACAGGGCGGACGTATTCGCAAAATCTACCAAATGCGCTTGTATAAAAAAAACAGTTCCTATTTTTTTGACCCGAAAAATTGTTATCGTGGTATTGTCCTCTTATCGTTGTTCCAAGTTTTGGACCTTTTTGCTCTTATCGCGATGTTCCAACTGAAGCCCCACATTTTGCACTTCGTGGCGCACTCGGGCATTATCATACAAGTTCACATGGCAACGCAATTGCGCACTAAGGTGACGTCAAAATATTACCCGCAAAAGCCTTAACCCTACACTACACCATCTCCTTGTTGTCACGGGAGGCTACCAGTAACCCGAATTCCTGCAGCTTTATGGGGTGTACCTACGAAATAGGGGGAAATACTTCGGGACTGTGCGTTAAGGTTTTCAGGTAAAGGCTATCCGAGCCATTGTGTAAACTCCTAACATCCCTCTTCAAAACCCCATAATGCTCTACTATGTAATCCCATACAGAAAGCCTTTTCAGGAGTCTGCACTCTATAGCTCATCTGCCGACTGCGCCAGGTTTCTGCACGGCTTGCACCGCTTGGGCGGCTTTCTGCCAGGCATACCAGGCATCAGACAGTTGCGCTTGGCTCTCGGAGGCTTTGGAAAACAACGCCTCCACGAGCTCGCTGTTCCACACCTCAGCAAGTTTTAATATTGGGGCCATGCTGGGGTTATATTGGGGTTTTTCGGGGGTATCTCAGATTTGGGCGGAGGGGAGGGGGGCTTGGGGTTTAGGGTTACAAAAAGGCGTGTGGCGTGTGCTTTCCGTCATCCTGATTCGGGGGAGCCTGAAAACATTATGATTTGCTGGAGAACTAACGCACGAGGTATGCTACGCCACTCCGATCCATCTCAACAGGCACACAAAGGGTTGCAAATGTGGCTAGGGGGTCGAACTTGTAGATTGCAGGGGAAAACCTTAATTTCCTGTTGTGCAGAGTACATAGACCTCAGAAAGCAACGGAGTCTTTGATTTTTCCAAAGTTAGGCAAGTGGATACCCTTGGATGCGAAGAGCCCAGCAGAGTCTTATGGCAAGAATCAGCACTTGTGCCAGTCTTCTTCGGATCCCGTGTAACTGATTTCTGCAAACCCTAAAACCTAGAGCCTAAACCCTCAACCCTAAACCCTAAACCCCTAAACCCTCAACCCTAAACCCTCAACCCTAAACCCTAAACCCTCAACCCTAAACCCTATGGAAGAGTGAGGTGGCGCTGGGTGGGGACGTGACACCGGCCTAGACCTGCTTTAAGTTTACCTCAAACCCCCATGATTCACATATGTACTATAATCTAAACTCCTTAAAGGGGGGTTATATAGGGGATATATAGGGGACTACTATAGGGCTTATTAAGGGGGATACTAGGAGTTTAGACTAGGTTATATGGGGTAATATAATGGGTTCTATAGGGGGTAATATTGGGATAATGGAAAATAAAATGGACACTACTATAATGGGTTATATGGGGTAATATTATGATTCACATATGCCCTACAAAACACAGGGAGAAAAAAGAAAGCTGAACCCTTCAACGGGGCTTGTCTCCGACATGTCCCGTTGCTTTAACCCAAGGCTCACAGAAAAGCCAAACCAACACGCTGAAACCGAAAGCGCTGCAGGCAAGAAGCTTTCGCTTTCGGAGCCATTGCTAAGCGTCATGTGTACTGCAAATTAAAGTAAAGCTCGGTTCTCGGGTCTAGGTTGAGGGGATGTTTAGAGTTTTGGGGCAGAACCACCTGCGTAATAAGCCTGGCCATTAGCTCCCTCTGCTGTTGCACGGTTACCCCTGGGGGGACCCTTGGCATGCTTCAGGGATCAGGTGTCTTCAAAATATTTGATCTGTACCCATTTTCGGGCTGTTCTTCAACCTTTTGTCTACTTCTTCGCCTGGAGCCCGCAGCCCCTTCCGAACATGGGTTTAGGGTTTAGGGTTGGGCTGTCAGTTTCCTGCCTGTTTCCCTGTGAAGGGGCCTGGGGCGTATGTTTTGCTAGTGCTGCTTCTGCAGAGTTTACCTTTTAATGTACTGTTTGGCTCCACAGTATATAGACAAGGGCATCTGCTCGAAGGGGTCGCTTTTCTTCAAAAGAACAGCACTAAAAGTTCATAGGATTTATAGGTATACTAAAGGAGTGCTGTAGAGACAGTCTGGGTACATGTTAAGTATGATACTGGGCTATTATAGGTGTGGGAGAGGTGGATTCTTTAGGCTTTCGCTCAAGTAGCGCCACTTGCAACGCACTCAAACTCATACAGGGCACTGCCAAATGTGTCTAAACCACGTCGAGGAACTCCTGACATTTTGATGATTTCGGGATTCTTTTTGCACGATGGGAATGCCACTTACCCAAGGATGCCAAAAGAGGTCCATGCCAAGAGTTTGCAAGTTAGACGGCACACTGGCATGCTGTCTTGCGCTGTCGGCCTGTTTTCTCCTCTGCGATGAAATCAAATGGGCCCAAGAAAGGGCACCTTCCGGTGAGAAGTGTAGGGAGTGGGCATACTAAAGCCCAGGGATGAGGAACAGACCTACACTGCTGATAACAAATGTTCAACCCATTTGTGTCTGTGCTCAAGCACAGGTGTATACAGCATTTAACAATCCACCAAAAGGCGGCCGTTGACTTACTTACCTCTGGTAAGCAGGGAATGAGGGATTGAACAAGAAAACGGCAACTACTACGGACTTGGGACTATGTAGGGACTGCTGTAAGGATCTATCCCAAACCCTAAGCCCTTAACTCTACTCCTTCATTCCTTCTAAGCGTCTTAACCCAACACATCTGCGGGGCAACGCTCCTCGGCTGCACTAAGCTTGATGCTTGACTGGCCTGGGAAGATGCGGCCCCTCTAAACTGGTTTGATTTTAAGGAATTTAAGCTAAGTTTCTATATTGGGGCAACCCTATGATCCAATATAGATATATATATACACACACCGCATATACCTTTTATGGTAACTTAATTTAAAGTTCCTTAACAGCACACGGTAAACTCATTAAGCCTCCCTCACTCCTACCAATTGGCACGGCCCTCACGGCTGTTGGACGAAGGTCCACAGCGAAGTGCCAATCTTGGCGCGCATAGTTTCGCGTTTGAGGCAAAGTTTCTTTTTCTTGGCTCCAGCCAAAGGGTTCAAAGGGCACCAAGCTAAAAGGTCTAACCCCTCCCCGTAAAATTAAACCCTCCCACCCCTCCTAATATTCAATATGCCTTGGATAATATGCTCTGAACCATGGTTTTTTATCTAAGGTAAGACGGGAAGAAGTCTTGGCCCCTGGTCAGGTGTCAGCAATGAGTTGTGGTAGACGCAAGAACTAGTAACGGCATGGTACTGACTCTGGCATGGTTTTCATGTAAGGTCCCCCAAATTGGACACCAAATATATACACTCACAAATGTTCCTAAGGAACCCTATATACATTCACCAAAGACTATAAATGTAAAACACTATTTCGTATACAACAATGGATTCATTCAATACTAGGGTGGTGGGGGGGGGGCTAATATGTGTGTTTGGCTTGTGCCTTGAGTTGTCTTGCGGCCTTGCTTCCTACAGGTGTGGGCTCAAAGGAAACAAGGCTAACATGGCAGGCGCCGGGGCCCATTTGGAGCAGTAATATAGTATTATATTAGTAAAGTATCACAGTATTATAGTAGTATATTAGCCGCTCCCCAGAAAGCTCATAGAAATCCTTCCTGGTGTCCTGAGCTTGGTAATCTGCTACGCATGTACTTTACTTACTTGTTTACTGTCTTCGGCCTAGTAAAATTCGTCATACATTCCAAAAGATACTCGTGGGAGGCGGTTGCTTGGCACTCGAAAGTA